GGCCAAACCAGGAAGGTCTCTTCTGCGCGCTCCTCGGGGTGCCATTTTTCTTGGCAGAGAATGCTATTGGATCTATTGGGTGTTTGATCTCCATCACCATTGCATCTATTGTTGGATTTGTTGGTATACCTCTTGTTGGCATAGGAAATAGGAAAGGATAGGAAAGGTCTCTGAAGCCCATGCCAAAATCAGTTGAGCGCTATTTTTTGCAGGCTATGTTAGGCGAAATCGCCTATGATCTGTTGCTTTTGGCTCCAGCGCACATCAGAGTTCGCCAGCAATTCTAGAATCTTGTTTGCTTGAAAACTCATGAAGTTTGCCTTGGCAATGATGCTCACAGCCTGTGCCGCACTGCGGGACTTGAAGGGTGAGGGTGAAATGGTTTCGGCGAAGTCGGAGGCGAAGATGCCCAAAGTCACCGATCCTCCCAGTGGCACCGGGGGCACTTGGCCTTGTGTCGACCAGCCGGAATACAGGGAGATTTTGAATCTCTTCTGTGCAGGTTCAAAGGATTTCAAAGGTGTCTTTTCCTCACGAAACGATTTTTGGATGTTCTGGGACGATTTTAACCCATGGTGTTCTTCCCAATGACTAAATTTGTTTGATAGATGGTTTGCTCAGCGACTGAGGGATGGGCTGTATCCATTGGTGAAGAATTGCCTCTACGGCATTGCAACCAACTCGGCAAGGTGCATGAAAGCTGCCTTCACAGAAGCTCATGGGCCAGAGAAGATTGCTGATGTAAACATTTTCTATGGGCACATCGGAGACGCCGACGTGGGGTATGCAGGGCATGAAGACTGCAAATTAACACTTGGGTGGGAAGTGCAAGATCGCGACGATAAGAAGTGGAAGGCGCTGAACATCGATTTCTTGGTCTACAAGAAGTGAAGAGTTTTGGTTGTTGCTGAGACCAGTTTACTTTGTTTCATCTGCGATGAAAGCGCTGATGGCGAAAAAGAGCTGAGTAAATTGTACATATTATCACTATTCTATCGTTGGTTCTGTTTTTTCACAATAACATATTGTATAAGGATTGGACAGTTGGGAACAGGAAAGGGTTTGTTGCCAACCCTTTGTTTCGTGGCCTTCCGTGACTGTTGAGTGGGTAGAATTTGTTTATCCGCGTGAAACGCGAGTGGCCAAACCAGGAAGGTCTCTTCTGCGCGCTCCTCGGGGTGCCATTTTTC